CCTGGCTCTTTTCACAGGGGTTCATGGCCAAGGAGGCCTTCCTCGGGACCCAGGCCTTATGCCAACCAGGACGCAGCCTATCTGTCAGTTTATTCTCTTTTCATCACCTCCTCAGGCCTCTCAGCCAACTGCAGCCTTCTGCCAGGTCACTGCTTCTCACTTTAGCCCCTCAAAATCACCTCCCAAGTGCACTCCACAGCAATCACAGTAGCCTCCAGTGATTTGAAAGTTCTCCAGGGACATCAGCATGTAGCTACATCAAGTAGATTGGGCTGAGTGGAACCTCAGTGGTAAGGACCTGTGCTAATAATTCAAAGGCAGGCAGTTCAAATCCACCAGCTGCTCCCTGGGAGAAAGATGGGCAATCTCCTCCTGTGTGATGTACAGCCTCTGAAAAAACTGCTGGAAGGTCAGCTGTGAGTTGGTTCCAACTTGAAGGCACACCACCACCTTTGTCATCACCACCAAAGCCTTCTTAAAAAAAAATAAAAATCTTTTTTTAAATTAATTGTAACGAAAGTTACAGAGAGTTAGGGTTTCCATTCATTCATTGTTGCGCTTTTCTCCCTGCCCGCCCCCTCACCCCCCCAATTCATTCTTCTCCTTGAAATGTAAAAGAAAAATTCTTTTTTATGCAATTCCTCTCCCCAAGTCCACTCCACTGTGGAACCTTCATTCTGGACTCCTGTCATGACAATATTACCCAATCATATATCCCTTTTAAACGTTCTTTCCCTCATCTGTTTCAAGATACATCATTTATCCCCTCCTTCTCTGTGTTCCCTCAACCTCAATGTCAGTCCCATTTTACAACAGTGGCCCTATGCAATATTTGTCCTTTTGTGACTGAGATATTTCACTCAGCATAATGTCCTCCTGGGTCACCCGTTTTGTGTAATATTTCATGAGTTCCTTGTTTTTCAGTTCTGCATAGTATTCCATTGTGTGACTATACCAGAGCTTCTCTATCCATTCATTTGTTGATGGGCACTTGGGTTGTTCCGAGCTCTTTCCTATTGCGAACAAAGCTGCAATATATTTTATTATTTTTTTAGTGTACTATCAAATCGGATCTGACTGGTACCGGAGGAGATTGCCCTTCCTTCTCCAGCAGAGCATTTGGTGGATTCAAATCATGTACCTCTGGGATTGCAGTGCGACTTCTTGCCACTAGGCCTCCAGAGCTTCCTCACTGTAACCTTCTGTGAAAGCCAAGAACCACTGCAGCTCAGCGCTGCCACGTGCAAACTAAAGTGGACCGTCTGCCTGAGGCTCCTCTTGGCTCACTCTGCTTGATGCTGCCTCTGTTTCCCAGAGAGAAGAGTTCTGTGCATCCCCAGAATCATCAGGTGAGCAGGGCAGGAGCCCTAGTTTGGGTTCTGAAGTTCCCATTGTGCTCACATGGAGTCCCTGTGGACCAGCAGCTACAGGGGAGCCATTGGGCAGAAAACACACTTGTGCTCTTATTTCACTGCTCCCCAAGCCTGGGTTAGATCTGCAGGCTGCGGCTCCCTGAACTCCTGTCTTAAAGCAGTCCGTGCCCTGTGATGACTGTCAGCTCCAGGGCAGGGAACAGGTCTGTCTTGCTCCTGTCTGTGTCCCCAGGGCCTGACTGATGGCCAGCACATGAGCTCAGTACATATCAGTACATAGAAGTATCTACAAACAGTTACTGTGCTAGGCTGCCACCGGAAAGGTTGGAGGTTCAAGTCCACTCAGAGGAGCCTTGGAAGCAAAGTGTCCCAAACTACTCCTGAAAAGCAGCCAGTGTAAACCAAACAGAACTTAGTTCTCCAGGGCCGCTGTGACTCTGAGTAAACTAAACAGCAACTAGTCTGGTTTTCAGTGACTGAACTAGTAGTTCCTAGTACTCCGTGTGCCCTGCTGTCTTACAGAAAAGGAAGCAGGCACAGAGCAGGAAGGGACCTGGCCCAGCTTGCACAGCCTGATGGAGGCTGGGTTAGGACTTAGAGTCATGGGCTCTGATGTCCACCGAAGGGCTGGTTCACTCAGTGCCACCAGAGGTGCCCACAGCCCACTCTCCTCCACTTCACCTGTGTCTGCTCTGTTCAGAGGCAGCAACTTCTTCTAAACTCAAAGACATCCCCAACACACGCACCAGACACACACACACACACACACACACACACACACACACACACCACACACACACACACACACACACACACACACACGCTCACTTTGACAGTGGATAAAGAGACAGGTGAAGGAGAAAGAGGGCTGCATTGTGTGGGAGGCATAGGAAGTCTCCCCACTCCACAGGCTGCAGGTGAAAAGCCTCACCCAGTCCGGAGGGAGCTAGCTGGGACTTGTATTTTGATAGACCTCACAGCCAGGCTGAGAGTGGACTTTGCCTTCTGTTTCCAGCCTCCTCTTATCTCTGAGAAAGCAGGGCCCTGTGGGGAGCCCAGTGGGAGCTGTGTTCAGACTATATTAAAGCCAAGAGGACCACATCAAGAGTCAGTGCCTGGTGGAGCAGTTCTGAAGCCTGAGTTCCCCTTTGCTGGTTACAGGATCTTCTCTGAGGTTCAGTCTCCTAATCAGGAAAATGGGCCCAATAGTATTATTGCCTTTGTTGGCTGTTGGTCAGGATTAGTAGAGGGCTTTTTTTTTTGAGCCCTTGCCCTGAGGCTTGGTAAACATTGTAAGTTGAATGTACTTTTTGTTGTTGTTGTTGTTGTTAGGTACACTTGAGTTGAGAACAACAGATCTGAACCCTGTCCCATCCTACGCTACCCTCACATCTCTGACAAGACTTGAGCCGATTGCTGCAGTCACTGTATCAGTCCATCTCGTTGAGGGTCTTCCTCTCTTTTGCTGACCCTCCATCTTTCCAAGCACGATGTTCCTTTCCAAGGAATAGCCCCTTTAACAACATGTCCAAAGTATGTAAGATAAAGCTTCATCAGCCTTGCCTCTGAGGAGCTCTCTGGCTGCACTTTCTCCATGAATATATAAGTCCATGAGATTTTCAGTGCTCTTCTCCAACACAATGCAAAAGTATCTCTTTTTTGTCATCTTTATTCACTGCCTAGCTCTCAGATACACAGCAAGTGATTGAAAAGACCATGGCTTCAAATCAGGCCCACCTTAGTCTTTAAACTGACATCATTGCTCATTGGTACTTTGGAGAAGAGTCTGATAGGAGACTTTCCCAATTTAAAACATCTTTTGATTTCTTGATTGTTGGTTGCAAAGGTGTTCATTGTGGATACAATCAAGATGAAATCATTGACAGTTTCAGTCTTTGCTCCATCTGGCATAAGGGTACCTATCCACTCAGTGAGGATTTTTGTCTTCTTAAAGGAAGACTAATTAACAGAGAGTCAAGGCTGATCCCTCAAGGAGAAAGATCAACGGCATCTATCTCTGAGATGTGACTCAGGAGATGACCTTTATGGTAAATTCGTGAATGGTGATGGCTTCCTGGTAAGTTCCAAAGGGACCAAGACATATTTGGGCGACTTCCTCCCATGCAATTTACTGCCTCTGAAAAGCCACTGCAGGATCAGTTACTGCTCTGTTCTAACTCTATGATACATAACAACAGCATAACCCTCCCTTCCAAAGGATATCAAGAAAGATAAGTGGACAATTAATATTTTTATCAAAGATTCTTTGGAAGAATTCTACTCAAAAGGAGAGAAACATAGAACAAAATTTTAAATTCTCATGGAATCTAGACTTTATGGAGTTCTGAAGGCTGGATAAATCCCTGAAACTCTTGCCCTGAGAAAGCCTTTAATCCTGTAACGAAAATATTCCCTGCAGTGTTCTTGAAATCAAACAAGTTTACCTTAATGAGTAAAGAAGTCTGTCTTGGGCATTGTGCTCTTTTAAGACCTACCTATGTGAGATCAAATTGGCAACAGTAACTTGAAAGAAGAGATAGGGAACTTAGGGGGCAGTGAGTTTATGCTAATGAGGGTGAAGGAACTCCAAAAAAGGAGGATGAGAAAGGCTGTACAATCTGAAGAATGCCATCAGTGTCATTGAATTTTTACATGTACAAAGTGTCACATAGGTGTAAGCTCTGCTGTGTATCTTCTCAACAACAGCAAGATAAATTATTCTGAAGAAAGAGAAGGAGAAGAAAGTGGAGGAAGAGTAGAAGGGCAAACAAGCATTTACATCTTGGAGGCAAGTATGTAATAGATTGCCCCAGAAAAACAGTCCAGAGGGGACAAAACAGGATGGATTGAAGGGGACAGGGTGGACCATGAAACCTCAGCTCAATCTTGGATCTTGGTCATTCTTTCTTAGCACTTTGCTTCTATTTTTTTTTTTTAAATTGATCTGAAACTTCATCTGATCTATTTTGGACATATTGCAAGATGGAATCAGTCCTTGGAGAAGGACATCACGCTTGAAAGTGTGGAGGGACAGCGCAAGAGAGGAAGACCTTTGATGGATTGATTCAGTGACTGGGACAATGGGGGTAGATGTGTCAGAGACAATAAGATTGGCATTGGATAGAACAGGTTTTAGGGCTGTTGTACACAGGGTTGCTATGAGTCACAGGCAAGTTGAAGGCACATAACACCAACCACAACAACAAAAGATTATATAACAATCCTAAGCGTACAGACAGCTCAATCAATTCTTCCCTTGTCTCTACAATGAGCCAGATGCAATCACCCAGACCAAGATTTAGAATGTTCCAACCTCCCAGAAGTGATGGTCTTCCCAGTGATTATGCCTCAGAGGAAACCACCATGTTGATTTGTGTCGCCAGTATTATGATCACTCACCTGTTCTAGAACCACGAGTAGATGGAATCATTTAGTCTATGTACTTGGCAGTGGATTTCCTCCCCGCATCATTGTGCTGGTGAAGCTCATCTGTTCTACATCGTTCATTTTAATTGCTGTGTGGTTATCCACTACGTGGAAACACCACAATAAATCCGATTTAACCACATGAAATTGCTAGTATTCCTTTTTTGTTTGTTTGTTTTGTGTGTTATTTATTTGAGAAGTTCAGGCCTTGACTGTGTATTTCCGCAGTGGGTACAGGCGCTCTTTTCGCTGCTGCTTCTTGGTCTTCAGGTTCTCCTCGTGCTTGTTGAGCCTTGGGCGCACGGCACGTGTTTTCTTGGGCCGCAGATCCAGGGGTTTGTACTTCTTGTCCTTATTTATAGTATTTTCTGAGGTTCTCCTTCTGAGTCTGGTTAATAACAGTGAGAACACGAGCAGTGGATTTTCGGACAGCTCGGATTTTGGAGAGCTTAGAGGCTCTCACTTTGGTGATGCGCAGCTGGGAAAGCTCCACTTTCAGATCATCCAGCTGTTTTAACAGCTCCTCCTCCTTCTTGCCACGAACATCCCGAGCCTTGATTTTGGTCATGGCTGAGCGATAGAACCTGGCTGCCGCCTAGTATTCTATTTCTTTTAATTGCAAAAATAGAAGGGCCCATTTTGTAAGACTCAACCTACAGCTGACGGATGTTTATGCTACAAGAATTGACGTGCTCGACTTGGTGAGCATACCACTCTGTTCTACTAAGTATAATTACAAGGATACTTTCTGGGTTGTAGAGCAGTAGATCGCGATTTTTTTTTTATTTTTATTATTTTTTGTGTGAGTGTACCGTCAAATCAGATCTGACTGGTACAGGAGGAGATTGTCCCTCCTTCCCCGGCAGAGCATCTGGTGGATTTGAA